TTTCATGGTATTTTGTACGCTCAAAAATCGGGCAGTTTTCAGGGATTGAATAACTGCAAATCTTTACCAGCTCTGGCTGAGAACTCCTTAATTTGTGTACGAAATTGCCATCAAGGACTAAGCATCACCCGTTACTAAATGCCAGCTGTTCACCTGCGCTTGGGTCAGTTTTGGGAGCCTCCGTGATTCAGAAAGTCCCTGTCAGCCTCCCAGGGGGTCCTGAAGCTCCCGTCGGGCTGGACTCGCACCGCGGGAGGGTTCAGCTCCAGCTCTGCTGGCTGCTGTTAGCAAACCTGGTGTCTCGTGTTGCGGGAAGAGGACCTGGTTAACCTCCTCTTTCGTCCAAGAGGCTTCAGCTCTTCCCCAGAACTTGCTGTGGTGTGTTGGTTCTGAAGGAGCCGGGGCACGGAGAGCCCCTCAGCCTCTCTTTCCTTGTCCTTTCCATGCCTGTTTCTCCAGACTGGAGCAGGAAGGGCCTGAAGTGACATTTCTTTGTGCTGTTTTGTTTCAGTCCCTCCTCCTCCAGCCAAACAGCCTCTCGCCTCTCCTGGTTGTCTTTTTCTGGTGTCCCCCCTCACAGCGTTAGCTGTGGCCTGGCAGGATGATGGCACTGTAAGGCTGTAGCTGTAGCATGCTTCCAAATTTGCATTTGACTCAGAAAAATGTATTCCTGGAGCAGCCCCAGCTTCCATCCCCTAGGTGGACAAAGACTTTGATCTGAAGCAAGGGCTGCTGCCGCTGCCCGTTTGCTTGGATCACTGAGCTTCCCTGGAAAACCCCCTTCCCTCCTGCCCAGCAGCTTCTGGGGTTCCAGATAAACCAGGAAGGCCTCTGCATGCTGACAGTCGCCTTTGCAAAAAAGCCTATAAGGTGCCCACAGGGACTATTTCCAGAAGAGTTAGAGGCTTATGTTTGCGCAGCCCAAAGGGTGCGTTGTGAAGAAGGCAGAGAATTAGTGTCTCAGATTCGAGGGGCATCAGCGTTCATCTGCGCGGAGGTCTGGCACCTTCTGGGCTAGCCTCTGTCCTTGGCCAGCGCAATGCCATGTCTGCAGCCAACACCCCGTCGCAGGAGATCGGGAGCCGCAATCGCCTGCGGGTAGTTCTGCTACGCTGCGCAGGAGGGGACAGGCGGCGTTCCCCGTCACTGTGCGGTGTCTCCTGCCCCACTGATACGTACTAAGATCGAGTCGTATGCAAACCAGTTCAGTTTGGTTTAGGTCTCCCTCCTCTGCAAGAGGTCCCTCCTCAGATCAAGAACAGCCTCCTGTTTGCTGAGAACATCACACAAGAAAGCGCTGCAGGGCCTTTACCAATGCCATTTGCTGGAGGAGGCTTTGAGTTTATTGCACACGCCAAACGCTTCCTGCGGTTCCTAGAGAAAAGGCCGGTTTAGCAGACTAGCAGCTTTGCCCAGGGGAATCAGGATCGAGGTGCTTAACCTTGTCTGAGAAAACCCTAACCCTGTACTTTCTGGATACTTGCTGCAACCAAATCCTCCCGTCCTTGGACGTCCTCCACTTCACAGCAGCACAGAGGAGGGATGAGCGTCGCTTCACAGAAACGAAACGGGTGGTTCGGCCCGGGATGCCCGGTGGGCCCAGCTGGAGGAAGCACGTGTCCCACCCCAGCACCTCGCAGCTAAGAAAATATCAGTGCAGATAGCAGCGTGGGAGCGCTGCTGTGAGCTCGCTGCGGGTTCGGGAAGGCCAGAGGTTTCAGAACAGTAAGAGGTGAGAGCAGATAGAGCAGAAATTAATGCAGCCTCTGAAACTAATGGCATATTGGCATAATTTTGCTCAGATAGAGCAGAACAGTACCTGGTAGCAAGAGGCAAGCGCTTCCCATGCAGATCAGCCTCCTTTTGAAGCGACACGCGTTCACGTGGTGTAAGTAATGACATGAGATTAAAAAAACCCAGAAGGAGTGTGGAGCACGTGGCTAGGAGCAGCCGGTCCACCCGCTAGAGACGCGGGGCTGCGGCGGCGCCGGGGAG